ATCCTATCCTATCCTATCCTATCCTATCCTATCCTATCCTATCCTATTTTCTATTCTATCCTATCCTACTCCATTTTATTATTCTATTCTATTCTATTCTATTCTATTCTACTCTACTCTACTCTACTCTACTCTACTCTACTCTATTCCCTCTTCATTCTATTCTATTCTGTCCTGTCCTGTCCTGTCCTGTCCTGTCCTGTCCTGTCCTATCCTATCCTATCCTATCCTATCCTATCCTATCCTATCCTATTTTCTATTCTATTCTATCCTACTCCATTTTATTATTCTATTCTATTCTATTCTATTCTATTCTATTCTATTCTATTCTATTCTATTCTATTCTATTCTATTCTACTCTACTCTACTCTACTCTACTCTACTCTACTCTACTCCCTCTTCATTCTATTCTGTCCTGTCCTGTCCTGTCCTGTCCTATCCTATCCTACGACCAGCTGTCTGCAAGCAATCTAAATCCTTCCCTTCCCCGCCATCCAGGCAGAGGTGCAGAAGCTTCTGGGATGAGAAGGGCAACGCCTTCAAAAAGGAAAAACACCAGAAAGTCCGGTGGCCTCCTGGAAAAAAAAAAAAAGGCCCCTCTGGGGACAACCAAAACCTGGCTGGGACCGAGCAGCTCTTCTCTGCCTTCTCTGCTCGAGGCTCGCCGGGCAACCTCCGCCCCGCCCTCGCGGGGGCTTGGCCAGCCCTTATAGCTCCGGCCGCTTCCACGCCGCTTCCCAAAGCGAAGTTCGAGCCGCTCAGGATGTGGCCGCCTCCCCAGCGCCGCCTCGCCGCCTCGCCTGCCCGCCGCCCGCCGCCGCTCGTGCTGCTGCTGCTGCTGCTGGGGGCTGCTGGGGCCGCCGCTCCTGCGCTGCGCCGCCGTGCCTCGCACCGCCAGTCCCCGCATCCTGACCGCGGCGCAGGGTAAGCCGGGCGGAGGAGCAGCATCTTCGGGGCTCTCGGGGTGGGCTGGCTCTGCTAGGGACGCACCTGTTGGGCTCGGGAGGGGGGCTTTGGGGGGCGAGGGGAGGCGGGCGGGGGATCCGTCCATCCCGTCGCGGGATGCCGGGGGGCTGCCGGGTTAAAGTGGGGCGCAGGGAGGGAAGGGCTGGGAGAGGAGCCGCTTTGGGTAGAGAGATGGACGGGGATTATAAATGATGGGGAAGAGAGAGAGAGACGATAGGAAAGAAAGAACGAGAGGGAGAGATGGGAAAGAAAGGAAAGAAAGAGAGAGAAAGAAAGAAAGAGAGATGATAGGAAAGACAGAAAGAGAGAGAGAGACGATAGGAAAGAAAGAAAGAGAGAGAGAGAGAGGATAGGAAATAAAGGAGAGAGAGAGAGAGAAAGAAAGAGAGAGAGCAAGAGACAATAGGAAAGAAAGAAAGAGAGAGAGGATAGGAAATAAAGGAAAGAGAGAGAGAGAAAAAAAGAAAGAAAGAAAGAGAGACAATAGGAAAGAAAGAGAGAGAGAGACGATAGGAAAGAAAGAACGAGAGAGAGAGAGAGGATGGGAAAGAAAGGAAAGAAAGAGAGAGAAAGAAAGAGAGAGAGATGATAGGAAAGACAGAAAGAGAGAGAGAGATGATAGGAAAGAAAGAAAGAGAGAGAGGATAGGAAATAAAGGAAAGAGAGAAAAAAAAGAAAGAAAGAAAGAGTAACAATAGGAAAGAAAGAGAGAGAGAGAGAGACAATAGGAAGGAAAGAGAGAGAGAGACGATAGGAAAGAAAGAGAGAGAGAGAGAGGATAGGAAAGAAAGGAAAAAAGAGAGAATGAGAGAGAAGATAGGAAAGGAAGAAAGAGAAAGAAAGATAGGGAAGGAGGGAAGAAGATAAGGAGGGAGGGAGGGAGGGAGGGAAACAGGAAGGAAGGGAAGGAAAGAAGGAAAGAAAGAACCTAGGAAAGAAGGGAGGGAAAAGGAGAGAAAGAAAGAAAGATAGGAAAGGAGGGCAGAAGATAGGAAAGGAGGGAAGGAGGGAAGGAAAGAGGGAGGGAGACAGGAAGGAAGGAAAGAAAGAAGGAAGGAAAGAAAGAAAGAAGAAGGAAAGAAAGAAAGGAAGGAAGGAAGGAAGAAAGAAAGAAAGAAAGAAAGAAAGAAAGAAAGAAAGGAAGGAAGGAAGGAAGGAAGGAAGGAAGGAAGGAAGGAAGGAAGGCTTGGAGTCACACTGGACAAATATTTTGGAGTCATTTGAAGGCTACATAGGCAGATAGGAACTGGAACCCAAGACTTCTGGAGAGTGCCAGACCGGCAAGTTTGAGTCTGGGGTTTTGCTCTATTTCCATTTCCCTCTAAACGGTTTGCAGGAGTCCAAGAAATGAATGCATGGGTGGGTGGGTGGGGGTAACCATGATTAAATCCAGGGTGGGTAAGTAAGTACCGTATGTTTTGGGACTATCCATCCCAAACACCCCAATCCCAACCTGGCTCTTCTGATGATGACTTGGCCTTTGGTAGGGTCTGGATCTGGGAGCCCTGAGTTGCCTTCTTACTTTCCCTACCACCCAAACGCCATCCTTCAAAGGCATCCTTTAAGGTTAGGAAGAAAGAGGCAGAAACGGGGTCCATCATCCTGAACCTAACTGGGAGATGGGACCAGGTTAAAAACAAAGCAACCTGTGGTATCCTTGGAGGGTGGGGGGCTCTCTGAGCTTGGTCGTTTGCTTGCAGACGTCTCATGACCAAACTAGGCAACATCATCAGTGCGAGTTGGCTTTGCCTTCATTCGAAGAAGCACGTGCCCGCTGCCGTGCTTGCTTTGGCCACAAACTTAGTCCACCCCTTTGACTCAGCTTGTTATCGCAATGATAAACTTTCTCTGCAGCAAACTTTCTCTTTTCGTAACAACCTTGTTTTGATGGTGGGAAGAAGGGAAAAAGAAAAAAACTCAGAACAAACCATTTATCTCTCCAGCTCGGAAGCGGGCAAATGTGAGGAGACATCCACAGTGTGTGTGTGTGTTTCTAAGGGATGTGCTGGGAAACGAGAGAACGAGGAAGGATATATAGAAAACGCGTCCGTCTTTCTAAAATCCTTCATCGCTCTCTCATTTCAGCCCACAGAGATTTGCGTGCTTTTCAATACTCTCTGTAATAGGTCACCAAGGGAGGTTCATGGATGGATTTCTTTAGCGATCCTTCTGAGGTCGGTAAAATGAGGACCTAAATTGTTGTAGGCAATATGCTGACTCTGTAAACTGCTAAGTGTTATTGCTACCTTCCTTCCTTCCTTCCTTCCTTCCTTCCTTCCTTCCTTCCTTCCTTCCTTCCTTCTTTCCTTTCCAGTGGTTAGAATGCAGTATTGTGGGCTAACTGTGCCCACAGTCAGGAGCTCGATCCTGACCGGCTCAAGGTTGACTCAGTCTTCCATCCTTCCGAGGTCGGTAAAATGAGGATCCAAATTGTTGGGGTCAAGAGGCTGACCCTGTAAACTGCTTAGAGAGGGCTGTAAAGCACTGTAAAGCAGCATAGTCTACCTTGAGTCTTTGGAGAAAGGCGGCATACAAGTTGAACAAATAAATAAATATAAGTCTAAGTGCTATTGCTATTGCTATCCTTCCTATTACCTATCTGCCCCCACTTATGACTATAACCTTGTTGCTTGTATCTTTACGATTTATACTGTTTTATTTAGCTTCTTACTATGATTTGATTGCTTATTTAGTATCCTATGACTATCATTAATGTGTTGTATCTTATGATTCTTGGTGAATGTTATTTTTTTAATGTACACTCAGAGCGTATGCACCAAAGACAAATTCCTTGTGTCACACTTGGCCAATAAAGAATTCTATTCTATTCTATATTCTGGTTGAACTTTTTCTCATCCGTGGCCTTCTAGGTACGTGGGATGCCAGGTGGACGGAGAGTTTCATTTGGTTAGCCTGCTTTTGACTCACCTGTAGCTTTACTTTTGAAGAGGTCAAAATAATATCTTCTTTAAGGCGCTCTTTATGGGTTCAGCAAAGTCTTGCTGATGATGTGAGATTTATAGCCAGGCCAAAATGATCCCTGAATGTACCTGAGATGATTGATTATTATTTTTTGGTGGATGCATTCTCTTTCTATTATATTTTTGTGGGTTGCACAAGGTTGCCAAAAGGGATTTTATTCATCCCTGGTTACTTCCATTAACTTGGCCACTGGCAATTCAATTGTCGGGGAGAATATTTTAATGTTTTCCTAAAATGTGTGTGTGTGGAGGGGTGTATTTCCACAATGCGTTAAAGGAGGCAAACTTTCTCTCACTCACCTTGCTTCCAAGATCTCTACCTTCAGTAGGAGGCATACACAGGAATCTGTACAACCATCAATTCCAATAAACATTATTTATTCACACTTTGGCCCAAAGAAATCAAGGATGACCAATCAGAATAGAGCTGGTAGGATCCTTGGAGGGCTTCTAGTCTAACCCTTTGCTCAAGCAGGAGATCCTAGACCTATACCATTTCAGACAAGTGGCTGTCCAGTCTCTTCTTAAAGACCTCCAGTGATGGAGTACCTACAACAGCTGCAGGCAAGCTATTCCAACACTGGTTAATTGTCCTCACTGTTAGGAAGTTTCTCCTTAATTCCAGGTTGCTTCTCTCCTTGATTAGTTTCCACCCGTTGCTTCTTGTTCTGCCCTCAGGTGCTTCGGAGAATAGCTTGACTCCCTCTTCTTTGGGGCAGCCCCTGAGATATGGGAAGACTGCTTTCATGTCTCCCCTAGTCCTTCTCTTCATTAAATTAGACATACCCAAAAACGTCCTTCGTATGTTTTTGTCTCCAGGCAAAAACATAATAATCTGCACTTTTTCCAAAATCTCAACGTTTTTTTTTTTAATAATGAAGTGACCAAAACTGGATGCAATATTCCAGGTTTGGTCTTACTAAGGTTTTAAAAAGCGGTACTCATTCTCACCTAAGGGATGCGGTGGCTCAGTGGCTAAGATGCTGAGCTTGTCGATCGAAAGGTCGGCAGTTCAGCGGTTTGAATCCCTAGTGTCGCGTAACGGAGTGAGCTCCCGTGACTTGTCCCAGCTTCTGCCAACCTAGCAGTTCGAAAGCATGTAAAAAAATGCAAGTAGAAAAATAGGGACCACCTTTGGTGGGAAGGGAACAGCGTTCTGTGCGCCTTTGGCATTGAGTCATGCCGGCACATGACCACGGAGACGTCTTCGGACAGCGCTGGCTCTTCGGCTTTGAAACGGAGATGAGCACCGCCCCCTAGAATTGGGAATGACTAGCACATATGTGCAAGGGGAACCTTTTTACTCATACTTCATGTGATTTCGATTCTCAATAATCAAATATTTAAAAATACATATTTTGACCACATAAAGAGAATTTCACTTCTGCTTAAGAAGAGCTTGTTGGATGTGGCTTTAAATCCTCTTTGGGAGGGAAATTGACCCCCCCGCTTCAGCCAATCAGGTCAGAGTGTCACAAGAGAGAAGGAATGAATATCAAGGCATTGATATTCAATGTAGACTGCTCCTGAAGCTGGACGTTTTAGATCTCTTGTGCAGGAGCCCTTAATTTAACCGAGGCGTTTGCCTTTTGTCCTCCTTGGAAGGGGATCTCTGATCCAGAACTCTTCTGAATCTGGATGAGAATTGCAACTGTGAGAGTTAATGTTGTATATTTGTCTACTGCATATTGTCGCGTCTAATCTCTGTCGGAGGAGTTATGTCAGATCAAGCCGCCAAGCCCAGATGGGAATGACATAATAATAAAGATACAGCTTGATTCCCAAGATGGGATTACGAGGTCTCCGAAGGATTTCCGTGCCAGCTGAATCAACCTTGCTTAACTAAGAGAGGATTATGATCTTATTTCTTGGCATGGCAACCTTCTGTAGCTTCTGCTCTCTGATCTCGGGGCTGAACACCAGGCATAAACAGCCTTGGAAACGCTGATTAAATCTCATTAGAGTCCATTTTACGGG